TTCAGCAAGCCCAAAGAAAATTCAAGTTGGTTGGATAATCATAATATGTAAAAGTTAAAAGATGTACTTTAGGCCTTGACCCAATGCGAGGCCTAAAATCTGCAAGCCCGCCACTGGTTTCTTTTCTCACGGACACATAAATTTAATTTAGGACTTTAATTTCCCAGACGTTCTTGCATCATGTTTTCCAGAAATTCAGGATTGTTGACCAAATTGAAGGCCAATTAAGAACTCATAACCAAACGATTCCTCACGTTCCCTTTTGCATGAAATTATATTTGTACCTTGAAGAACTCAAATACATTGTATAGTGCTTTTACATGGAAGATGGGAAGTGGTTTAAGTCCTGACACAGGAGGTGCCTGGTCCAGAGTGAATTTTGCCAGCTTCTAATGTTCGGTTGACAATATTCTTTTAGCATTTTACCTTTTAATTTTATTTTTTTTATTTTTAAAATATATAAAATATTAATTAAAATAAATATTAAATATATAAAATATATTTTATATATTTTTAGAGTATTAAAAGACTAAAAAACCTAGAGTTGTAGTTATAGATTAGGATTGTTAAATTAAGTTTAAGGATCCATTTAGTATAACGATTTATAAGTAATGATTAGTAATTTTGCCTAAACCATTAAAAATAGATATTTAATAAATTTATTTATTTCGAAACAATTATAAATTAGATATTTGGTAAAACTTTTTATTTAACAATTTGGTACTAACATATTGCGGTTAAGGTACAAACTAATAGTAAATTGAAAAAGCTATTTAAGATAACTTGTTGCACTAAACTTGTTAATAAATCGAAATTTTTTAATTTTATTGATAAATTTATCTTTTTTAATTTTTAAATTTTTTGCCATGATTTTTAATTAGTATTTATCTAATTAGTTTCAATTTTATTTTTTTGTCTTTAATAATATTAAATAATTATTATATTTTTATTTTTATATTAATTTATCCTAGAAAAATATTTTAATTTACTAATTAGACAAAAAGATTAAATTTTTTTATAATTTATTTAAAACTAATATAATTTTTTTATTAAAAATAAAAATTAGTATAGGATTATATTATTATAATCTATTTATTTATTTATTATTATTATTATTATCATAAAATTAATAATTTTAATAACAAAAAATATAAAAAGAAAAAAAGTACACTTAATTGTTGGTTAAATGTCAATTTTGGTCCCTCAACTTTAGCATGTTTTATAGTTTTGGTCCCTTAACTTTTTAATGCACTTTTCAAGTCCCTCAACTATGAAAAATGTACTTTTTTAATTCTTTCATCAATTAGTTCATTAAATTCATCTACATATGCACATTTTTAATCCTTAAATTTTATAATTTTGCATAATTTTCATTTTTTAACTTAAAAATTTAGGAGCTAAAAATATATATATAGACATACTTAAAGACTAACTGACAAAATGATAAAAAAAAAATGTACCTTTCATAAATAAGAGATAAAAAAAAGTACATAAAAAAATTGAGAGACCAAAACTATGCAAAAACTTAAAGTTGAGGAACCAAAATTAGCATTTAACCTTAATTGTTTTTAAACTTGTCTTTATCCATCATTTAATTTTAAACAACAACTATTAACTACTATATAACTAAACAGTTATATTAATCAAATCTACTATCTACTATCCATCCACTATCTGTTACTACTATCCACTATCTGTTACTACTATCCACTATCTGCAATTCACTAATCGCTATATGTTGAATTCCAAAAGCTATATGACAGCGCTTTTAAGACTTTATACCTAGACGATGATTTTTGTTTTCTTAAGGTCTTGCCTTGCAATCAGATCAAAATGCAACAATAACAACAACAACAACAACAACAATAACTAGCTTACCATCCTTACTCTTAAGGTTGAGCATCAAGGACGAGTATATATGATATTTGTAGGTACCTGACTTGTTGGCTAGCTATTTTACCTGTATCTGTAGAGAGACAGTTAAATACCGAGTATGAAAAATACATACTAAGTATCGGGTAAGTATTGGGTATGAAAGTCAATACTTGTATACCTGACTTATATACTTGACTTGTATATCTGACTCATTACTTGACCTATATATCTGACATGTATACTTGACTTATATATACCCAACTAATATACCTAATTATATATTTATAATGCTTCTTTAATTAATTAATTATAGGAATATCATTTCAATTTACAATTTTTACAGAAATTACTTAACTATAAAAGAATTGATAATATAATGATTATATTTTAGTTTTATATACTTAATTTGTAATATAACGTTATGAAATTAAAATGTTTATGCTTTTTTCTTTTCTTTTCTTCTAACAGTGAAGATTCAACTAAAGAAAAATCATGTGGATTTTATTTGTATTTCTTTTGTTATTATATATATAAATTTGTGTATGTATAAGTGTATACACTCACGTATTTTATTTTATATATAAACTTGTATTATATGTATGAACATATAGTTGTATATTAATTTATGTATTTTCAATATAAAATTTAACAAGTATATAAATATATCTGTGAATACACCTGTATCTAGTAGGTTAAATAACAGGTATAAATTTTTAATATTAAGATAAATGTTAGGTATTGAAATTTTATACTAATCACCATTTAACTCAAGTACAAGTCTAAACAGAAATACGTGGGCCATACCTACCCATGCTTATCACTACTTACTCCAGAAATGCACACCCACTAACAATTTCGGGCCTGAACAAACCCGGCCCAGACATGGAAAAATTTCAGTAATTTTTTTTTTTCGGTACGAAGTAATTTAATTTTTTATTATTATAACCAATATCTGTAAGTTCTAAACGTGTCCTTTCATCTCCTGGCTTTTCTTCATCCTCTGGTCTCTATCATTCTCTCCCCTCCGCTGACTTTTGACGGTGCAATCGGAGCGAGATCTCGGTTATACATTGCCGGAAACTTCATCTTGATTCCGGCGACACATCCTTCGATCCATTCTTGTCACCATGAATCCCGAGTAGTAAGATCTTCTACCTTCCTGCTTATTGAGTTTACAAATCCAGTCTGTGCTATGTTGTGTTCGATTATAAGCCTTCGTCGGCATCGTCTGCTTCAAATATCTGACGTTTCTTTTTGATTCGATGATTTTTTTTTAAATGATGGATGTTGATATTATAGTTATGATTGATAAATTTTAACCTAAGTGTCAGATCTGCTGATTGACTGTAGATGTTTGTGTTGGGAATATACGTTTTGTAGTCATTCCTGTTCCTCATAAAGTACTATTTGCTTTCTTTTCCTTTTTGTTGCCTTTAATCTGAGTAATATTGGATTTGTTTTTGATTCTAGTCTAGCTATATCTGATGATTTTTGATTACTATTTGTTACAAAATTTACGTTTCTTTTTATGACTTAAGTAATTATCTCTGCGAATTGGATTAGGCACTGCGAGTATTTAAAAATGGATGTTGTTGACATATATAATAGAAAGTTATTGAGTTAATTTTTTTTTTTTTAAAGTGTTTTGGCTCTTATGATAAAAGCTAGAGAGTCTTACTAGTTACTAGGCAAAGCTAATGACAGACTTCTAGATTCTAGCCTGATTTTGGAAATATGGTGAAATGGTGTTGGGCAACTTTAATTTTGCTGTCAGTTTTGTAGGGATGAGTATGGAATTTAGTTGATTGTGAATGGCTTGATGCATGAGCCCAACCTCGGATTGAATTGAGGATAGTGAGGAAGTAGGTTGGTTATAGTTAGGCACTGTCCACCTATGACAAGCTAAACTTTCAAATCTGCCTTGCAAGAAGATGTTTCTTTTGCTTGCAAAATGTATCAAAGTCATAGTTTGCTGCACATCGTAAACAGCTTGATGCATGCATTTCTTGCATCTCTGTTACCTATTCTGTTCATTATGAGACTTTGTGCATGTAAAGGAGTCCAACTCCAATCAAAACGGTTCTTTTCCCGTGCTTAAGTGGAGATCAAAATTTATATAGTGATATTGCAGACTGTGGACAAAATTTAACTTTATAGAAGACTCAATTTACTTCTTAAGATGAAAAAGTTGCTAGAACTTAAGAAGTTAAACTAATCTACAAAACAAGAGATTCTGCTATATTTTGCATTCGAGTATCAACACCGCAAAATTTGTTAATAGGCTTATTGCTTTCCTCTGCAGTGACTATTTGTTCAAGCTTCTTCTTATTGGAGATTCTGGAGTTGGAAAATCATGTCTGCTTTTGAGATTCGCTGTAAGTTTCAAGAATTCTGAAACATTTTGGAATAAATGTGGTTCTTCTAGGGTTTTACTAATATGTATATCTTGTTGTACGAATCATTGATGAAAAAAATTGTCATAGGCCACATCCCGAATCTAGTTGTAAATATTTGCATTTCACAATGTTAAACATGTTTTATGGTTTGAAAGAGAACACTTTTTGGTCTTAATCCTTTCATCCCATTTCTATTTTTACATAGTAAGCTACCATAGAGGGTAATCAGTCTATTACAACGAGCTGAATATGTTGCATGATCCTTCTGATAGAATTTGGAATTTGATGATCCTCTAATTTCTTTGATGCAGGATGATTCGTACATAGAGAGTTACATAAGCACCATTGGAGTTGATTTTGTAAGTAAGCTTTTCTTATTGCCAACCTTACTTTACATCAACAAAATATAAAATATGTGCCTGAGTAATTTTAATTTCTTGTCTCATCTCTTTTGTTCTGGCAGAAAATACGCACTGTGGAGCAAGAGGGGAAGACCATTAAACTTCAAATTGTATGGTTTGATCTCTGTTAGTTTTTCTTTTATTTAATTCTTTCTGTTTTCAAAGATTTTTTTATAATTATCCTTCAAGGACGGTGTCTTCTTTTATTAGAATCAATTATCCTTTGCTGGGGAATTAATGGATGTATTCTTCTACTTTTTCTTGTATAATTGCATTCATCTTGAACCGGCTATGGGTTGCTCAAAAATCCTGAAAGCCTCATTATTTGTCATTTTAGCTTCTCAATAGTTCCCTAATGATTTGGTTTGCAGTGGGACACAGCTGGACAAGAACGATTTAGGACAATCACCAGCAGCTACTACCGTGGGGCTCATGGAATAATAGTGGGTGATCTTATGTTATTCTCTTTTTGATTCATAAAAACCTGTTATTCTCCTACAGTCCTACTCATGACAAACATGTCCTCTTGGTGTTTCCTGTTTTAGATAGTGTATGACGTGACAGACCAGGAGAGCTTCAATAACGTCAAGCAATGGCTGAATGAAATTGATCGCTATGCAAGTGATAATGTCAACAAACTTCTGGTTGGAAACAAGTGTGATCTTACTGCAAACAAAGTTGTGTCATCTGAAACAGCCAAGGTATTGCTAGTCCTTCAACATCCTTTCCTTCTAGGAAAAACCTAACTAATAGGAGTATATATATTTATGGTGTGTATATGGTCGATTTCACCTGCTGTTATGCTTCTTCTCTTTTAGGCATTTGCTGATGAAGTTGGCATACCTTTTATGGAAACCAGTGCAAAAGATTCCACTAACGTGGAACAAGCTTTCATGGCCATGGCTGCTGCAATCAAGGAGAGGTATTGATATTATTTTCTTCTTTTCAAATAATTATTGTGATATCCAATGCAAAAGTTAGTCTGTTGCACGAGTCTGGGTAGGAGGAAAACACCCATTAAATTCTTTGTTGATATGAATATACAGTTGAGTCAAATCCTTATGTGGGAGTCAAATCCTTATGTGGTGGTCAAACAGGAATAAAATACATGAAAAAACTAAAAAATTTGACAAAAATAGAAACAAACTAATTCTTTATGGTTAATTGGTCTGACCCCGTAGTCAGGATATGGATCAATGTTTTCGAATATACCTTCAATTCTAGTTCCTGATCTCTTTTTTGGAAGCACTATTGTTAATTCCTTTATTTATTCGTCTCATGCACTGAGATTTCCCTTGAATGCAGAATGGCGAGCCAACCAGCCATGAACAATGCAACGCCTCCAACTGTACAGATTCGAGGGCAGCCTGTTGCACAGAAAAGTGGCTGCTGCTCTTAAAACTGATTCATTGAATCATGTATTAGGAAAGCTTGGTTTCTTATGCAGTATGCTTTCTCGTGGCTTGTAAGATACACGTTTATTCTATCTTTTCAGTTGTGAACTGCTTACATACCAACCTTAGTAGGGAATCGCATTCATTAGAATACACTAGTTGATGTGAAATTGCTGTAAAATATTATAATACTGATTTTTAGTTGGTGTTGTCTTTCGCCATTTTGGATGCTCTACTACGATGCCACTCAGCCTCTGGGTTGCCAGATCATGATTTGATATATGGAAATCGTGATTTAATAATTAGAGTTGCTCACTTTCCCAGTGGCGTTCAACTGTTTTACATTTTGTCCCAACCTAGATTAGACATTACACCAGTTTCTCATGTCAACCATAGGCAATAAGGCGTGGAAATGCCTTCGATTCAGCACACCACGTTGTGTTGGTGAATTGAATACAGTTCCTCGAAAGCGATGATATACATTCTTATGCCAGAATTTCAGAATTTCAAATACACTCCTGGCAAAAGCATATCACAGCATTCCCACTGCAACCAAGCAAGTATTAGAGCGTACGGTGAAGGTGCGGGACTGCCTCCCCAGAAGTCATCGTGTTAGTCATCATGTTGGTGTAAATAAGTAACAAAATGGTTCCATCTCTTCCAAATAAAAAATGAGCAACAATAGTTTCTAGTGATAAATTAACTGTCACATGACTTCAAATTCTAAAAGGGAAAGACCAGAGCATACCAATAGACGGGCAATACGAGGGGAAGTGAGGAAACACCTAAATATACATTTCAAAGCATAAAACTGAATAACTCCCTTTGGCTACAGGAAACCATGTTATTCTAGTCAATTTCCCGTCCAATATTTAAAGAACCCAAAAATGCAAAAAGAAAAACTGAAAGAGTTCGAAATGAGTTTCTTGAGAATCTCACTTAGCCCCTAAAGTTGGGAAGTCACCGGGATCTTCAATTTTTGGGGCTGGAACATTACTCATGCCGCTGCCTCCACCAAACCCTCTTGAACCTCGACCACGGCCACGACCACGGCCGCGCCCACCTGGATTGTAATACCTCTCTCCTTCGGCAGGTTTCAGAAACTCATTAATGCTGACAGACTGCAAACACCATCTCAGGCAACAAGATAGATCAGTTATAGATACAATAACCAAAAATGGGACATATGAATGGCAGGCACAAACCAAAAACACATTCAGAATTATGAAAGATCAAGAAGAAAAGATCAGAGAAAACTACCTTTTTAGCCTTCTCTTCCTTATCAGCTGCCTCCTTTTTCTTATCAGAGCCCTGATACATAAAAATCAAGCAGAAGCAATGATTAATACACCACAATAAAAATCAATTACTGACTAGAAAATATTTGCCAATAAGTCTCACCAATTTGATAAAGACATCATCACCACCCTTTTTCTTTGAAAGCTGCTGCATGGACTCAAACTCCTTGGTGTCCACCTTTCTTTCCTCAGTCTTGAGTGCTGCCAGGGCCTTCCTCTTCTCTTCGAGAACCTTCTCATACTCCTCAAGAGTCATCTCCTATTGAGATTATTAATTACAAATGGTCAGCACATGGTAATAAGCATCATAATTAGCTAGATAGTATAAAAAAAAAAAGGGGAAAAATACACAAAATAAATGGAAAAAGAAAACCTTTATAGCACCATCATGAAATGATTCAGTGAAACAAACTGTTATTCTATAAGTGGAATAAGAAAAATGCATGTGTGGAGGGGGATGCCATTTGGCATCTTAAACATTTGTGAGAAAAATAGCTCTGTTATATGCTTCCTTGAGATCTGTAACTTCTCCATTTGAAACTTACCAGAAGCGATATAATAGAATGTTGAAAAGAACTTAATATGAACTCAAAATACCAAAGGACCTCCTTAGAAATTAGGGCTAACATAAGGATAATAATCTTTATGCATTAAAAACCATGAAAATATCAAAGAACTACAACAATATGCATGCCTTGTTGGTTGTATGAAGACATCAGAAATGAAAATCAAACTACCTTATCCTCAGGTTCCTTTTCTTCAGATTCATTTGTAGGGCTCTCCTTGTTAGCATCTCCCGCATCTTCTTGTCCTGCGGGCTTTTCCTCACTTAAATTCTTACCATCATTGGCAACTTCCTCAGTCACCCTAATAGAGAGACAAAGGAAAAAGTTTCATTTTCTGATCTCAGCAAGACAAAATGTGACTTAAAGTATTATTGGGTATAAGAGTTAATCTAACATTTAATATAAAGAATAAAAATTGTGTTGTCTGCAAATAACTTACTCCGCAAGTTCATCTGCCTGGGTTCCCCAGTTTCCACGGCCCGCCCCTTCACGTTTCATCTCATTTCTGCATGCAGGCAATTAAATGTCAAATGCATTAGAGTAGAGAAAAATGTCAAATAGCAGCAGTATATGAAGCTAGAGTAACTGAGCTATCATTACCCACGCCCAGTCCCACTATGGCGTTCAAAGTTCCTGCGAGGGCGTTCCCCTTCTCCAGCTTCTCCATTACTGAAACCACCACGGCGACCACCGCGATAAGGACGAGGGCCACCATAGCCACGCCTTTCAGAGGGCTTCCCTGCCTCTCCATCTTCAGGTCCACCTTGACCGCCAGGTACTGCAACATTGCCAGATGAGTTTTCCTCATTGACAGAGTCACGTCTACTATTCCTGCCACCAACACCACCACGTCCCCGTCCAAATCCACGTCCACCACCACGACCTCCACGTGCAGCATCACTCTTTGCCTCCCTCACTTATTTTAACAAAATAATAAGATGTCAGCAAGAAGTACGAGAAAGCTAAAAGAATAGAATTCAAACATTAAAAGGAAACATATGCACAATAACATCAATCAAAACCTCTTCCTTTACTCCACAAACACCATACTCTTAAGAAGAGAAACCACCCTGCTCCATCTAAGTTTCGGACTGATTACAGATAACCAACTATCAATACTAAATGAGACATGCCAGCAGATGCCTCAATTACATAAATATTGATAATCCAACAACATACTTGCGATTACCCAACAATCTTAGTCACAGTACCAATCATTGTATTCAGCAGAAAGAGTTGAGAATATACCCTCATCTTAAAGACATACTGATGTAACTGATCAACAATAACAACAAAACACGCTAGGAACACACCGACAGCACAGACCGAATCTGTTCACGCATGCATGTATAAAAATACAATTAGAACACAAATCGAACTTAAAATCTCTAGATACCAGACTCCATCACTGACATGGAAATGAAATATCATACAAACCCACTCCATAATTGACTAAAAGAAATGAGAACTTGGAATACATATAATACATAATAAGAGAAAACTACAAATTAAAACCAAAATCAGAGAAAACTCACCAGACTCAGCTGGAGGAAGAGGCTTGGAAGGAAGCTTAGCAGGCTTAGAGGGAGGTGCCACTGCCGCTGCCGCTGCCGCCTTAGTCTGAGCCGGAGTCTGCTCCTTCTTGGACACAGCAGCTTTCTGAGCTGCAATCAGTTGTGATGGATCCTCAGCATCATCATCTCCCAACAAATCAAAAGGGTTCACGGTCGCCATTTCTGTTACCACCAATTACACCCAACCCCCAAACCAACCTCTCTCAAGATCTTCCACCCCCCACACCAAACGGCGACCAGAAACCCTAGCTCGATAACACATCCATCGGTTTTAGAAAAGAGATGTATGTAGATCTGTAACAAAAGAAGCTTGAACAGAGTCAGGGGAAGAGAGAAAAACCCTAGCCGCCAGCACAGACAGAAGCAAGGAGAGAGTGAGAAACCTAATCTGGAAAAATGTCTTAATTTATCGTTGCGGACCTTGCGGTTGTTCTACGGACCTCGTGTGGTGTTTGTTTTGTTCTGCGTCGATTATAATAATAATTTTTTTTGATGGATATCGAGATGTTGGGTTCCGATTTTTGGGACTCGTTTTGGCGGAAATTACGAAATTTGCCACTAAGGTTATGTTTGGTTTGTGGCAGTTATTTATTCTTTAGTTAAATATTAAAATATGATAAATTTAAGAAACTCCTTTACGAATAGCTGAGTTAATGTTAATAATTTTTTTATTAAATTAAGCAATAAATGAAGAATATGTATTTTTTTTATAAGTGAAATATGTATTTCTTAATTTTTTTTAATAAGGTAATTATACGTTATAACGATTTATTAAAAGTAAGAAAAATAATGTTAGCGGGTTGATTTTAAAGCAAAAATCAAGATATTACATCACAAAACTCTTACCATTGAGCCGTAGATGTTGTTCACATTCCTTAGTTGTTAACTAATACTTGATTAAAAGTAAAATTTATGAAGAAATTTCTTTTATTAAAATAGTAGTTGGAATTGTATTTTTAAAAAGTTGAAAAGTATTATATAAATATAAATTATTTATATGGTTCATAATAAAATTTTGTTAAGTTATTAATTTTTTTATATTGAATAAAAAATTTTATATAAGTAAAGTTGCCAATAAACTTGCCGAATAAATCCTATATAAAAAAAGTTGAGAGATATTTTTTTAAAAAAAAATGTGAGAAGAAAAATTTTAATGATTAATAATTGACTAATTCTATTAAGAAAAAATAAAAAATAAAAATTAAAAATGTCACTTTATTTTTTTATTATAATATTAAGATATGAATATATACATAAATAATTTTATAAAAGAAAAAATTGATAAACCTGACAAATATATTAAATTGGATGAGTTCGGATTCATTCACCTTGGATTTTTTATTTATCAAATGAAGTCACTTCAAATTTTAAGTTAAAAAAGATAGATCTATCACCCACCTCCACAATTTTCAAATTTGATCAAGTAAACTCAATTTTTTGAAAAATTAAAATTTTTAATACTTTTCCAACTTTCTTTAATAAATTTAATGTTAGTTGATTATTTAGTAAAAAAATTTTAAATTAACATTAACTCTAATAATATAATAATTAATAATTATTTTATAATATTTAATTTTTTATTTAAAAATTTAAATTAAAAATATAATTAATCAAAATTTTAAATTTTAAATTTTCATTAATTTTATCAAATCAATTAATGTTGATTTGACCCGACTCTCATCTTTTTTTTTTTTTCTGAACGGTTTTGTCATGGGGCGGGTTTGAAACCCGCCCGTGTGGCCCAGGCCAAGTGCGACCCGAATCTCATCTAATCCAATAAATTATGAATAATTTTAATCTAAATCATATTAAGTTTTGGATTATTACTTTAGATCCGTGACTCAACTATAGCGGGTGGGCTGGATTCAATTTTCAGATTGGATTCGATTTTGGCAAGTTTAAAAATTAAGAAAAAACTTCCATCTCCAACCAAACATACCCTAAGATTCAGCTATTTTTAACTTTTTATAGAAATTTATCAAATTAATTAATTATTATTATATTTAAAAATTAAATTTTATTATTAAAAATTTAAATTTATTAAATTAAAGGTTAATGCTTACCAATCTTATTTCTTAAACATTAAGAAGAAAATTACTTTTAAAATTATATTGTTTTAATAAAAGATCATGAGAAAAAATAAAAAATACTTTAATTTATATTTTAAAAATAAAATATTTTAATTTTGTTCATAGGAATTTATTGAAATAACATAATTTTGAATAATTTTTCTTATATTGTTTAAAAAATAAGATAAATAAATACTATTTTCATTAAATTAAATTTTAATATATAATTACTTACCAAATACATAAAAAATGAAAGGCAAAAACTCAAAATCAAAGATATACCAAACGTGAACGAAGCCTTAAGCAGCATTAGGCTTCCACTGCCGGGCCCTAGACGGGGCGATTTATTTCGGCGGCCGGATTTGATTTTGAGGGCCAGTGGTACAATATCAACGATTGATGCGATCTCGGCCCGTACTCGTTTTATTATCTAGACTAGAATACGGCCCACTTGCGTAGGAGCATACAATTCAGGTCAGCTTTTTTTTTTTTTTTGGAAGGATTCATTTTACATGGTTACTGGGCCCAATTTCTTCTTCTATATCAATGTCTCTTAATTGGATTAAGTTTTCAAAAAATTATTTTTATAGTTCAAATTATACCAAATTATAAAATAAAAATCTTAAAATGAGAGATGTGCATCTTAGACTCTTAATATTAAAGACACTCTTCCTATTTAATAGTCTCTAACTTACAGTTAAAATTATAATTTGATATAATTCATAATATAAAACAAAAAGTTCTTAAGTAACTTTCTAAAGGGGTCAGTGTTTATTCGCTTTAATTTTAAAAAATTAAAAAGAAAAATGACAAAAATTACCTTAATGCATACTTTAAAGATATGGTAGGTTAGTTTTTTTCAATAAAAATTTATTGAAACGACGTAGTTTTTGAAAAATTTTCCTCATAATTTTTAGGAAATACGTAAGGTTGAGAGGTACTATTTTTTTTTCTAAATACTCTGGAACTGGGAGTGTAATGGAGTTGGGTTTTTGATCCCTCATCGGTTTTAGTGAAATCCCCATTAATTGATTTTAAATTTTTGTTGAATGATGGATATTTTGCGAGGTGCTCATAATTGAATATACTCCTATATATATATATATATATATATATATCAATTCCAGCTTTTTTGAGGTAGTTGATGAGGTAACATATGCTTCAGAATTTGAGATCCATCCCCGCAATCGATGTACCTAACTGATGCAAGTAGACATAGATTAAATTGGGCAAACGTGAAAGCAAAATGTTCAGGGAGAACTCAAATGGACAGCCTTAGGGTTCTAAACTCTCTAGCTTGATCTTTTCTTCATGAATATCAGCTACTAAATGCTAAACAGTGTAATTTTTACATAGTTTCAGGGACAATGAATTGTTTTTCCTCAAGCTTCATACTTCATAGTGCTCTGGAGTCAAGAGTAGTTAACTGGAACTCTAGAACCTTGGTTTGTTTTGCTGGATATGAAATTACATTGTTTATGATTTAGAGTTTACAGGGAGACGAGTTTACATCTTGCCCTCTTTACCATTGCTTTATAACTTTATTTGACAATATTTTGCACAACTTTTTTACTAATTTTAATGAATATTTTATATAATTTTAAAATAATAAAACACAAAAAAAAGTCAACCACAGCACAAACAATTGGAGCATACTTCTCCATTCCTTATGTTCTTCCTCACCTTTTGCTGGATTTATTATGATTCATCATAATCGATCACATTTGCAAAGAAACTCCAGAATGCATGATCGATATATATTCTTCACGAAGATCGATGTTAAAGTTGGTATCTTCCTGCAAGATTTTGTCCGCACTTGCTTGCCACGAACAAGACAATGAAGAAAATTGCTCATATTTGCTAAGCTACTGAAGAGAAATAATGTGTTAGAAGAATGAAATATATAGGTGGAGACTTATGAGCCTTATGTCTTTTAAATTTAAAAGTTAAAATCTCAATTTGATTTCTTTATTTTGATAAAAAGCTCATTTTTAGTTTATTTACTTAAAAAATACTCTTTTCTTGGTCCTTAAAATTTTAAATCCAACTTTTTTTTTTAATCTTTTCATTAAGTTTTGATATTAAATAATGAAAATTAAAAAAAAAAAAGACCAAAAAGAGTCTAAAATAGCTCCAAGTTGATTTCTTTATTTTGAAATTTTCATCATCTAACATACTAAGTATGCAAAACTTAATGGAAGGACTAAAAAATGAACGGATTTCAAACTTTAAAGACAAAAAGAGAATTTTTTAAATAAAAAAACTAAAAAAAGACTTTTTACCAAAGTAATAGATCAAAATAGAGATTTAACCAATCCAAAATAATGCCTCTGTATATGTATTTGTGCTCTCTTAACCGTGCACTACCGAGTTCGTGGCCTAGTTGACTCCCCAACAAATTGAATAAGAGCTGATGGTGCAATCAGTGATGAAAAAAAACCAAGTTTGGTTAGAATTATGAATGTGAAGAAAGATTCCATGGTAGTCCCAAGGAAGTAGAAATTGAAGATATAGATATCTTTGAAGATTGAAGACTTATGATCTCTTTTGTAGGCAAATTGAGGGTCCATGGTTACACATTAAGAAATTTGCATAAGACCTTACATAAAAAAGAAACAAAATGATAGAGTATAATATATATATGAAGATCCATAAAACCAATGAATATGCCTTTTAAGCTTAAAATAATATCTCCTCATATGTATTAGTGTTCTTTTATACATGAAATCTCGAATTGGCTCACTTGATTCCAAAAAATGGGACTTACTTGTACGTCAACACCCTCCCACAGAGGACCGGAGCTATGATGACTAGGGAGGGCTATGAATCTCTTAGTGTTTTTGTTTTTTTTTTTCTTCGAAAAGTTTTAAAATTAGTCTTTATATTTTATATTTTACAAATTTCATCCTTAACTTTTATTTTATTTACTTAATTATTTTTAATATTTATGAAAATAATCATAATTAGTCTCTTTCTTTAAATATTATCATTAAATTCAAAATAGGATGTTGTTATTTATTAGTGACAAATCTATTAACTATAAAATTACCTTTTAAAACTCTAATATTTTTTGCCAAAAGATTGCTAAAAATATCTCCAAACTTTAAAAATTTTTCTGCCTTCTAGCCTTCTATACTAATTTTTGATATATTTTTAAACTTATTACATACTATTTTTTAAGATGTATTTTATTTTATATTTTTTCTATAAATATAACAAGATAATTATTCAGTAATTACAAAAAAAATATCAAAGTACAACATATTTCACATTAAGCATAGCTAAGTTTGATTTTAGACACAACTTTTCAATTTTACAACTATGTGTTACTTCCTTTGATTCTT